GGGACAAGGGGCCCTTCAAATTCCTGTAACTTCCTCCTGGAGTGGCTCTCAGCTGTCTCCTAGGCATCTTTGGGAGTGACTTGAGGCTCCATTTGTGACCCTGGTCACTTACAACCCAGTACTTGATTCTTGGCTGCCAAAACCTAGAGACAACATGTGTTTTATGCAAAGCCGTAGCAGTGTAAATGCCACAGACCCTTCCGTTGTTACTTAGACATACATGCAAGAAGGCACAAATCTCAGGATCTTATCAAGAAACTGCGGATAGGAATTTGGGCTGAATCACCTGGGTGGGGAGCAATTTCTTCTTCATGGTCCACACAACAGTGTTGGCAGCGGAATGGTCACTCATGACTTACAAAAACACCTACTCTCTGTACTGGGGAATCAACATCACTCTTTTTTTTTCTTATTGTGTTTTTTCATTGAACTATATATACAGAAAAGTGTACAAATCATAAGCACACAGTCTATACATTTTTCCAAAGTGAACACACCCATGTAAGAATAAGCAGATCAAGAAATAGAAAATTTTCAGGATCCTAGAAGCAATAATCCCAGAATAGACTAGTTTTGCCTGTTTTGTACTTTATGAGGAATCATACAGTATTTTGTCTGGCTCCTTTTGCTCAACAATGTTTGTGAGCAAAATAGGTTGCCTACAACTTATTTGTTGCTTGTAATAGTGATGTGTTCATTTTCACCATGTAAAACTTTTCATTATGTGAGTATGCTACAACTTACCCATTCTACAGTAAGTGAGCATTTGGGTAGTTTCTAGTTAGGGGCTATTTTGAAAAGTGCAGCTATTAACATTCTTATAGATGTTTTATGGTGAACAGATGTATGCATTTCCATCCGGTATCTCTCTAGAGTTGGAACTGGTTGATCATAAGTTATGCATATATCCACTTAAGTAAAAAAATGCCAAACAGTTTGTTTGTACCCATATACGCTCCCACGGGCAACGTATGAGAGCTGGTTGCTCCACATTCTCATCAGTACTTGGTATTTTTTTGTGTGTGTGGCTATTCTGCCAGTCATTTATCTTTCATTCACAGTTACTTCTTCCCAATATGTCAGAATGTCTTTCCTTTTAAATCACAGGGAACAGTATGGCATAGTGCCAGATAGTCTAACTTACCAGGCTGGTGACCTCTGAGCCTCAGCTTCTTCCTCTGTAAATTGGGAATGAGAAAGTATCCCCTTCATGCTGTTGTGGGAGGACCAACTGCAATCATGCATGACAAGCACGTAGCACAGTCCTTGACATAGAGTAAGTGCAATAAAGAACTGCTATGCATAAGAGCATATGTCATAGATGGGGAAACTGAGGCCATGAGGGGTAAAAGGATCTGGCCAAAGTGACTCAGTAGCACAGCCTACTGAGCCTGTTATGTCCCTCTCTAGTTGGAGTTCCTCTATGGCACCATATGGATTCATTTTCTAAGAATTTTAAAATAAAAATTGCAAAATTGAGTCTATAATTTACAGCGAATTTTATTCACTTAAAGATTACCTTGTAATTTCTGCTGTTTATTTGGAAAATTTCATCAGATTCTTCAAGAAGGCACATAGGTCAGGTCACCCCCAGAGAAACCAATGCTCCTTTGTCAACAAGCAGGTCTAGGAGGGGGGACATGCATTTTACCTGGAGGACCTGGGTCCCTGAACAGTTAGCTGTTGGTCTCAGTCAGATGGTAAAACAGGGACTTGACAAAATAGTTGTTTGCAGTTGAGATTTTAGCCTTTTGCCTGACTCAGAAACTCCAACACCTGGCTTTTTTATTAGGAGTAGTTCTTAAGACGCACACACACCAATGGGGGTGACAAGTGAAAAGTTAGATGTGACTCTTCTGCTGGGTCAGCGGTAGCAGTGTTCATTTCCTAATGACAGCAGGAACAGAGATATGGGGTCAGGCCTGTGGGCCCCCCTGCAATGAGTCATGAGCATGTATAGAGATGTGTGGTCCTGCACAGCCTTGAAAAGTGACACAAATGACTCACGCACAGGAGATGCCTGCTGGGACTCAAAAAGAAGTGCTCCTTTTCCTCTAAGATGCCCAGAAGACAGACTCAGGGTGGGCTGGTGTGTCTTTAACACTGTGCTTCTTTCTCTTGCTCTTTTTAATCAAAGAAGAAGCTCACAAAATCAATGGTGTCAGGCTAGATTAAATAACAGATTTTTGTTTTCACTCTATTCACTTTTATGTGTATCTTCCCATAAGGCAAAGTGCTGCTGGTTTTCCACTTACAGTTATGACACAGTTGTCTTTTTTTTTTTTTTGGTATCATTAATCTACAATTACATGAGGAACATTATGTTTACTTTCTTTCCCCCTCCCCCTTATCCCTCCCTCCCAACCATCCTCCCCAATCTGTCTCCCTTTGGTAACTGTTAGTCCATTCTTGATTTCTGTGAGTCTGCTGTTGTTTTGTTCCTTCAGGTTTTTCTTTGTTCTTATACTCCACATTTGATACTTGTCTTTCTCCGCCTGGCTTATTTCACTGAGCATAATACCCTCTAGCTCCATCCATGTTGTTGCAAATGGCAGGATTTGTTTTCTTCTTCTGGCTGAATAATATTCCATTGTGTATATGTACCACATCTTCTTTATCCATTAATCTACTGGTGGACACTTAGGTTGCTTCCAATTCTTGGCTATTGTAAATAGTGCTGCAATAAACATAGGGGCGCCTATGTCTTTTTCAAACTGGGCTGCTGCATTCTTAGGGTAAATTCCTAGAAGTGGAATTCCTGCTTCAAATGATATTTCTATTTTTAGCTTTTTGAGGAACCTCCATAATCCTTTCCACAATGGTTGAACTAATTTGCATTCCCACCAGCAGTGTAGGGGGGTTCCCCTTTCTCCACATTTGTTGTTTGTCTTTTGGATGGTGGTGATCCTTACACAGTGTCTTTTTTAAATTAAACTGTCATTGACATACAATCTTACGTTGGTTTCAAACACACAACACAATGCTTCAAGTTTACCCATATTATTAAGTCTTCATCCCCTCCAGTGAGGTCACTGTCCATCAACGTAGTAAAATGTTACAGAATCATTAACTGTATTCTCTGTGCTTGTGACAGTTATCTTTTAAAATAACATTTGTTTGGATAAAGTGAGTAATTTTAAGGAACACTTCTAAGCCCATAGTAGTACAGGTGACATGTATATGCGACAAATTGTAAAGGCAATTGGAACTTCAGGGTGGTAGAAGATGACAAAAGTCTGAAGGTGACTGGGAATGACTTCAGTCAGCAGGCCTGGACTAAAACCCATTTCAGCCACCAACAGGGAGTGTGTACTTGGTCACTTTTCTCCTCTTAGCCTTGGTCCTCTCACCTGTTAAATGGAGATTACTTAATCTTTTTTTTGCAAAAGGGTCTTGAGAATTAAATATACTATCTATAAACTTTCTGGCTAGAGTAGAAGTTCGATTATTGATGATTTTAGTAGTAGTAGTATTACAAATATAATAGAGTGACCTGTCACCCTGGGGTCCCCAAAACAGAAGTGGCTCTTTTTAACTTCCAGAGTGGGGGTTGGTACTTTTCCAGAGCAATGGATTAACTATAGGGTGACCAACATATGCTGATATTAGCTTCATACTCACTTTTGACCCTAAGAAAGGAAGTTTTAGCACCTGCTGTGCGCATAGCTTCCCAAACACTTGTCATGAGCAGAGGTGATTAGGACTCTTCCGGGTCTCTTTTAGAATTAAAACAGTCCTTCCTGAAAATGCCTTTTCTAAGTGCTGCGTCTCAGGCAGGCTGTGATAAGGAGGGTTTTTATAGACATTTACTTAGTTGTTAGTCCTGGGTTGTTGCCAGTATTGTAAAACTTCCCAACAGTCTCTAAAGCACCTCCACCCCGCTTTTTCTTTTCTTTTCTTTTTTTTAGAGAGAAGGAAATATTTGGCTTGTTTTGAAAGCAGCCTGTGTTCTGTTCTACCTGTGGTGTCTACCGTGACCGCCAATTCAACAGTAACTGCGCAAATTTGTCCCTTGGTTGGGGGTGGGAAGTAGAGGCTGTAGGCCCGCTGCCGGAAGGGCGTGGCCCAGTGGGTTTGGGGGCTTCTGGCTCGGGCTTCGGGATCTGGGCACCCTGTCTTGCCAGGCACGGGGCACCTGGTTCGAGTCTGCGGGTCAGCGGAGGGGAGGGGTGCGTGAGTGGTGCGAACCCAGTCCCGAGCCCCCCTTTCCTCCCTACCTCCCAGCTAAGAGCTTTAACACGCACTTTCGTGCATTGTAATACCTTCGACCACTCAAGAGTACATGATCCAGCCCCATTATGCAGTTCAGAAAATTGAGGTTTGAAGTGATAGTTAGGAAATGTGTTCACGGACGTCTGCCGAGTCTCCTCCACACAAAATCCTTTCTAGGGATCCCTGCGTAGGCAGCCCCTTCTCCCAGAGCCGCCCGCCACCCCCAGTGGATCCGTCTGGTCTCTGCAGAGAGGGTGGGGGCCAGCGAGTTGACCGTCGCGCCAGCCCGTCCGAGTCACCCAGCTAAAGCCCTCTACGTGGCGTTGGGTCTGGTCACTGCCCCGAGGCGTCCACGCTCCTCCAGGGAGGAGCCGCACCTTCGCCCGCGCGCCTCAGCTCCGGACGAGGCGCCGCGTCCAGACACCGAGCCCCCGGCCTGCCACCTGCGCCACAGGGCTGAGGCTGCAACGACGCCTCAACTAGGATACGAAGGCTGAAAGAAGGTGAGCGACGCGCCCAGGGCCACCGCAGCTCTCCAAGAGCAGAGGCCTGGGGCGCCGGCTCTGCCCGGCCAATCCGGAGCCGGGGCGGGGATTGGGGCGTGGCCTAGGCGGGCCGGACAGGGGCTCGGGGCTCGGGGCTCGGGGCTCGGGGCTCGGGGCTCGGGGCCTGGCCCGGGGCGGGGCTGGAGAGCGGCCGGGCGGGCGGGGCGGAAGGCGGGTCCCGGAGCCTTCTGGGGCCAGCGCGCGCTGGAGCCTCAGTTCTCCCTGCGCGCCGGTGCCGCCAGCATGACCGATGCACTGCTGCCCGCGGCCCCCCAGCCGCTGGAGAAGGAGGGCGACGGCTACTTTCGGAAGGTGGGCGGCTTCGGGTGGGCGGGGAGTCCGCGCCTACCTCCACGCTGTGGAACGGGCTGTGGGGCTCGCGGCCAGGGTCGACCAGGCCGGGAGGGGGAGGGGGCGTACTGGCCAGGGCGGGCGGGGCAGAGGATTGGGGTGAGGGGTGCGGCGGCGGGGTACCCGGCGGCCTAGAGCAGGTGGCTTCCGGGGCTGGGAGGCGGGGGGCCTCTGGGGGCCTCTCCGCGCAGGTGCCGGCTGTGGATGGGGGCCCGGAGGTGTTTCCGGGTGGCCCCCTCTGGCGATCCGGGGCGCGCCTGGAGAAGGGACTCGTTAGTAGTTGCGCTGGCGCCCTCGGTTTCGGGGCACGCTGGGACCCGAGACCAGCTTCCACTGGAGCGCTTGACGGGGCGCGGGTGGAGACAGGACTACCCCAGAGGGTTGGCATTCTCTTTTGCCACCAGAATGTCCGCCACTTCTTTGGCTTTAAAAGAAGGGGAGAGTTGCTCGTGAGAGGCAACTTCGGGCGTTGCCCCCTCCGCGGCCTCAAGTCGACCAGGAGGGCGTGAGCGCGGCATACGTCAGGGCTGCGGTCTCTCCCCTTCTCTCCAGATGCTAAAGAGGGTTTATCTGATTGTTAGAGACCCCCGGCGAGTGCAGGCTCTGCGTCCATTCATCTTCGGCGCGCGCGCCCTGGATATGATAATCCTGCAGCCCGGGCCCTCAAAAGCGACCCCAGCCTGGGAGTGGGGGCGCTAGGATGCTTGCAGGTGGCAAGACCTGGACAACAAAAATGCTTTCGAGCTCGGAGGCACGGTGACACCATCCACCAGTCATCCTCGTAGGTCCCTTCGAGTCTAAAAATAGCCTTTGGAGTTTGGCCAGGTTTGACTTAGTGATTTGAGAGATTGTTGGGTTTTTATAGCATTTATGACAGAAGGCAGAGTGCATAATTTATAAATAGGGAAGTGATACTCTTTCCCACAGAACAATCAATTCTTAATTGTTCCAAGCCCAACAATCCAGGAGGTAAAAGGTCTTGGCAGCTTCCTTCTTCTCCCTTGTGACACAGCCTTTGGGCTTTTGCTGTCTGTTGGGGAGCTGTGGTGGCTCCAGGGGATAGGCAGGACAGAAGAAGAATCTGGAAACAGGTGAGGACAGAGTGGGAAAAATTCTTTTTTGTTAAATTGCTTTAACATTTTTTGAAAAGTAGTTTTAAGGTATATTTAAGTTCAAAGATGTCATCATGGGATTACAGGATTATAATTTATAAACTTCTAATTATGTGTGGCATTTGGGACAGAGGATCACAGGCCATGGAATTGCAGAAGGAGGTGGAGCCTGGGAATCACTAGATCTCTGTCCTATGGCCACAGAGTCTGGCTACCACCCCCACATGATTCCTATGTAGCCTCCAGCAAGTTGCTGGCCCTTTCTGGGACTTCATTTCCTCCCTGAGTTGTTTGTTCTCCAAACAAGTGGAGGTCTGGACCTATAGACCATCTGGGGGAAATGACAGAGGGAGGGGCAGAAGAGATGGAGAACACCTGTGAGAGTTATATTCCTAAGTCTTCCAGAACAGGTTTTCCAGGGGAGGATGTGCACTGGAAAGAGAGTGGATGGCCTGCAAAGTGCTCTGAAAGGACACAGGGTTGGATGTTTTTTTAGACGTAAATTCTCTGGTAGTAGATAAGAGAATCAAAGTAAAATGAATCACTGGTTTATAATTAGAAACATCTCCATTGAAAAGGAGACATTGTAATGATCATTATGGTACATACCAGTCCAAAGAATGTTCTTTGTACCAGAGTAATAAAAGGTGTTGATGTTGAACCTTTTTTGATTAGTGATCGGAGCCAATTTGACCTGAAACAAATGATCCTTGAATGAAACATAAATGTTACACAGGTGAAGAGGGGGGGGGGCTCTTCAAGTAGAGAGAACAGGATAGGCAAAGACATGGAATTGCCAACACTTCTGAGGGAACCCTCTGGGCTTGGAGGTGGAGGTGGGAACCCTCTGGAGGTGGAGGTGGGAACCAGGCTGTTCTGGTCATTCGTCCTGCTAAGGAAACAGAGTTCCTTTGGGGATCCATTAAGGTGATCCATTAAAGCAGGACCAGACTTGAGTCATGTTACAAGTCGAACGGCCTGCGTGGGGAAGGGAGGAGAGGCAGTAGTGGAGCCAGGCAAAGAACAGGAGGGTTTAGCTCCATGGAATTTACATTGTCTTTGCCCTTCCTACTCTGATGCGGACTGTTGGTGACTTTTCAGTCAGTTATATAAACTGAGCACAGCCTCACCACCCATCCATCCCACCTGCTCACACCCCTAACTCAAACTAGGGGTCCTGTGAGGAGGGCCTGAGCAAGAGCAGTGTCAGCATGGGTGGGAAGAACCAATGGATTGGATATGATGGGGAAGGTGCTGCTGACGGAACCCAAAAGGTCTGCCTTTGGTGTCTGGGTGGATGGTCAGATGCCTCACTGAGGTGGTGGAACCTGGAGGCTGAAGTTGGGCAGGTGCATTTGAGGCCCCCATGAGATAGCCACGTGGTGGTCTCAGTGGGGAGTCCATCCCACAGACCTGGCAGGCATGAGTGCACCCTGGCTGGAGATGTGGCTCTGGGGGACATCACTGTAGGAGGCAGATGGGGTATTGTGAAAAGGACCCAAAACACAGGGAATAATACCGCCTCTGAAGGGACAGGCACAGATGGTAGGCAAGCCAGGAGGGTGATAGCGTCAAGAAAGCCTGGAGAAGAGAGTCTTTTCAGTGGAGGGGTGTAGTTGATATGTCAGAAAGGCACTGGAAAATACTGGATTTAGGCCTTTAGGGGGCTGTTAGTAAAGGAGTGGGTGTAGAGTTGGGAGCTAAAGTCAGGGTACTGGGAAGCTGATGCTTTCAGGAGGAGATCATTGTTGGAGGGAGGGGACAGGTGTCAGAGGAGAGAGAAGAAGGCAGGTCTGCTTAAGATTGAGGCAGTCTAGAGCCTTGTGAAAGCTGATGGTGAAGAAGTTGGGGGTGGGGGTGGTTGAAGAGTCAAGGGAGAGTGAGAGCTGTGAAGGGGTCCCAGGAGGCAGGGGGAGAGGGCAAAGATTGGAAATTAGCAGAGTACTGGGTGGATGAGCCAATCAGGGGCAGTAAATGAGGATCCCCCAGACTGGAGGTGTAGTCAGGGCATCATTCAGCTGCTCCCAAGGTAGGCTCCCCCGTCCTAACTTGGAGTATGGGGATTTTGTGCACATTTACAGGATCAAATTTATTTCTATTAAAGTCAGGTCTCTCATTCTGTACTCTTTATCCTATCTTCTCTCCTTGAGAATGCCATTCTGCTTCATTCATTCAAAAAGCATTTACTGAGTGACAGCTCTGAGCCTGACCCCTGTCAAGTTCGGGGCACATGCAATCCTGGCTCAGTATGGGTTCTATGGCAGTTCACAGCAGGCTTCATTTCCTGGGGCTCCAAGTAGTGCTCGGAGTTGGTGCTTTGTCTGGATAACTCAGGCATGCTTGAATAGGAATCAACTTCTTTGCTTTAGCCCAGAGGAAAAAAGTGGGGGTCCACAGTTCATATTCAGAGCTTCAACTGTTTTGTGTGACTTGCACACAAAATGAAAACTAATTGCCCAAAAGCCCACTGCCAACTGAGCGTGGACCCTGAATGTGTGAGCCAGTCATTGGCAGAGAGGGAGAGCCTGGTAAATCAATGTCTTCTCAGGGGCCTGTAGGGGCTGTGCCAGAGCCCTGGGACACAGACACAACTTGGTCCCTGGTCAGGCATGGACACCCCCAGTACAGACCCTGGCTTCCTGGGCTGACAGCTTGGGGATCTCTGAACTAAAAACAAACAGAAAACAATACTTTCTGGACTATCGCAGTATGTTTCTCTCTTCTCTGGCTTCTCACTGTTCTTTTTTTCTTTTCTTGCTTTCTCTCTCTACATTAATATGTTTAAATAGAGGTACAGCTCTACAACTATAAATTGTTTTCTTAAAAGAATGGCCAGTGGAAATTCTTTTTCCCAAACAGGTTTTTATGCTCATCTTAATGAAAGTTGTGGAAGAATGTGTCCTGGCCTATATAGTTAATACAGGCTGTAGGAGTTTCAAGGACACTTCATCCTGAGAACAGGTCCCTTATCCCAGGGTCTCTGGCTGCTGTAGTTCTAAAACCGTCAGGAATAGCTGTTCTTGGCCAAGAGAAACCCAGCTGAAGAAGAACTAGAAAAAGGCGTTGCCCAGGCCTGTTGAAAGACTATATGCAAAGTCTTAGCCCAGTATGGAAGGGGAGAGTCAGGACAGAGGGAGGCATTGTCAGTCCTTATCTCTGCCTCCCCATCCTTGGGGAACACTAATGACCCGAAATGAATTTAGCTCCATTGTTTTTACGCAAGAGCTGGAGGAGAAGTTGTTTCTTGTTCACAGAACTTCCAGGCTGGACAGGGCCCCAAGGTTCACTGTGTCCTGGTTTATGGTCCTTGTTTATTCTGGGCTTCATTGAGGCTCCAGCAGAGAAGGAAGGAGGAATATTTTTCTTTTTAACCCAGAAGTTCCTCCTTTGCTCCATTCACCTTAGTTGGGTGTAATTTCATGTTAGACATGTGTTCATCATTTAGGAGCACACTTGTGTGCAAGGTGCCTTTTCTTGGGCTAAGGCCACAGAGTACAGTGTGGGTCATGGGGGCTCATCCACCCCAGCTTTGCTGGGTAGTGATGATGTCCCACCAGGTATTTGGAACCTTGAATCCTTTCCCGTGGAGGGAGGGAGGAGAAGAGGTATGAAGGTTGCTTATGCTGCCCACTTCCCGCCCCATGGTCTGAAGCCAGGTTGTTCGAGGTCGCGGGCTGATCATGGCATTGGTGAGGGTCTGCTAGCTGGACTGGTGCATACTAACTGCCCAGAGGGTGTGCCTGACAAACACCTTCTCACATTGCGGAATAGTGGCTGGAATGGGTCCCCTGGCAGAAACAGAATTTTCAGGGTGACTCAGAGGAAAGTCAGTGTGATGAGCTGTACCAC